AATAATTTTTTAATGTTTTAATATAATTTACTTTTTTTTTCTTATTAATAATTTGTTTAATTTATGATTTCTTTTAATTGATCAATCGATTTGTTACTACGTTAGTTTATTTAATTTTTAATTTAATTTTATATTTTTGTTTTAAAGGTTTATATAAAAATACAAATGTGGGTGTGCAAGATCATTGGTTAAAAAAAAAAAAAAAACAGAAAAAGAAAAAAAAACCTTGTTCATTCCAATTAAGGAAACAACCTTGGAATATATACGTAAGTGTTACCGCGTGTTAACTGTGATTTTATAAAATCGAACTTTTACTTTGCTATCCTGAGAATGTTATTTTCTCTTTCTTATCGAAGTTTCACCAATTTTATTACACGTATTATACACTTTTCTTGGATTACGACATTGTAAGAAGTATTATTTTTAGTATTTCAAACTTATCGAACCGTTTCATCAATAAATTCGAATAAAAACGTGAGTTTCATCACAAGTTTTCTTTTCTTTTTTTTTTTATTAATATTTGATTAACGTATTACTTTTTTTTTCTCTTCCATAGAAATTTTTCTCCCTTAAATTAATTCAATTTTTTTTTTTATTATTATCGAACAATTAGGTTAGAATCAAAAAAGAACAACAACAAAAAAAAACAACAAATATTTTCTACAAGTTTTAATATGCAATTGCAATAATATTTGATGACAGTAATAAAATAATAATAAATAAATAAAAAAATTACATTTTATTAGTAGTAGTTGGAAAAATACGCGAGGTGTCGTAACGATTCGTCTATTTTCGCAACGACGCAACTCGATGATTTAAAGGTTAGGTTAGGATTTTGTTCGTAGTAATAAATACTAACCAATAGATTCAATGACCTTTCCCATTTTTATTTTTTATCTGTTTATCTTTTTCTTCTTTATCTTTTTTTTTTTTTTACAACGTTGAAGTACCAATACACGCGTAGGCAACACAAAAAAAATATACAAAAGGTCGATATTGAAATACTGAAAGTAATTATATTGAGTAAAATGAACAAGCTCTTTTTTTATAACAATATTTTCTTCAAATTTTCATATTTTAATATTAAAAATATAATTTTAGTAAAATTAAAAACTATAAAGAAAGAAACAAAAACTGTACTCACCTTCTTCGTAGCTTGGATTTTTCAAAATTCTCATTGTCCAATTTTCTTCCTTCCTTTTCTTTCTTTCTTTCTTCTAATGGAACCCCATAATTCTTCTCCAAGATATCAATAAATTTTTTTTCTTTTTTTTTATCATAACCATAAGTCACCATTAAACGAATAATAACCTTAACAAAATCCATTCCTTTGACAATCGACGACCGTTAAACATACAAATTTTGAACAAGTTCACTCCGATTATATTTTGTGCAACTTTGTTTGTTTGTTTGTTTGTTTTTTTTCCAAAGCAACGTTTTTTAAACGTCGCGATAAAATAACATGAAAGAAAATGACGATAATAAGAAAATCAATAATTTGAACATATTTTTCTTGCAGTTTTTTTTTATTGAACGAATTTAAAAGAAAACATGGCGGAGGGGAAGAAAACATTTGAAATTTTCAAATTTTCGAATGTCGTACGTTGAATGGACGTCGATTTAAGAACACCCTGGGCTTACTTGGGGGAAGGGGGTTAGATTTGTCTTCATTTTATATTATAAGGGATATCATAGAGAGATTTGTTTAGTTTTGAGATCATTATACTCACATTACCAGTCGTGAAAATATCGAAGAAATCATTCTAAACGTATAACCGCGTTTTATAGTACACGCACTGTTAGCACAAAGAACAGTTTAATAAGGACTGTCGCGTCTAGCACCGCTGCTCACAAGTCAGCCATATTAAACTGGCAGCTGGCCGTTGCTGAGCTCCTGACGTCACATACTGTTTTCGTCACGTGACCCCAACCACGTAGAAAAGTAAGGCGTCCAGTAAGGAGAACACCATCACAACTATTTCGTTTTATTCTAATTTTTACATTAGAATTTAATTTTTAATCAGTTTTTTATTTCTGATGATTCGTTATTGTCAATGAATTCGTATTGTTTAAGAATAATTATCAGAAATGTTAAATTTTTTTTTTCAATTAAATTTTATCGTTCAAGTTAAGTCAATGTTCTATTCATTCTTTTTTTTCTTTTTTTTTTTTAGGAATTTTTTTCATTAGAAATGGGAATAGAAATAGAAATTTGGATTGACATATTTATTATCAAAACATAGTTTATTTGAAATACAAATTGCATATGTATAATTTTACTATAACAATCACTAAAAAATATAATCGATTACCAAAGAATATAAAAATTGTCAAAAAATAAATTTTCTAAATACACAAAATATCAGACCATTCAAAGAAAATAAAAACGAAAACAATTTTAAATAACTCCGGGCACTTAAAACTAGACATTACGGTACTGGGATATACATAATCTATCTCTCTCAGTTCTGTCGCAACCCGGCGCAAACGTCGTCGTGGTGTTGTCGTCTTGGTCGTGGTGGTACGTCCCTAGGCATAGCCCAATGCTTTCCTCTTACCCCTGGAACCATCATCACCCAACTCTTGAGAAAGGATAGAAAGAGAAAGAGAATGGGTAGTCTTAGCATGGTCATAGTTAGATGTGTTGGGTTGTATGATGCAGACTGTAGTAGTAGTAGTAATAATAATAGCAGAGAACCAGTATACCAGTGCTGGTGGTGGTTGTGATGAAGGTGGTGGCGCTGTGTGCTGGGCATAAAACGGTGGTGCTGCGCGGTACTGAGTAGGAGAAGTGAGAAGAGTAGGGGGAGTGGGGAGGAGTAGGACTATGAGTAGGAGGGTGGGGGGTGGGATCTGGCGGCTTGACGAATCGTGGAGGAGGTGAGGGAAGGTTGAGAGGAGGAGGAGGTGGGGTTGGTTGAAAGTAGGAGGAGGGGGTGACAGCCCGTGAGGGGGCACGGCTCGCGGGAAGGAGCCTTGCCTGCCTCCCTGCCGTCCGCCCGCAGTAAGCGCTACGCGATATCACTGGTCGGTCATGTGTGCGTCACTATTATCACGTTCACACAACATTGGTACCGTTCGGAGGAGTCGAGTGATCGTCGTCGTCGTCGTCTTCGTCTTCTCCAAATCCATCTCCATCTCCGTCAACTACGTTTTCGTCGTCTTCTTCGTCATTATTGTTGTTGTTATTGTTGTTGTTATTGTTATTGTTATTATTATTATTGTTGTTGTTGTTATTCTTTTTCTTCTTCTTCTTCTTCTTCTATTTGTAGTAGATAGATTAGATGTTGTTGTTGTTGTTAATAAAAATAATAATAATAATAATGATAATGATAATACAGTAAGAAAAGAAATAGTTTCGTGTTGTAACATACAATACGGAAAATTGTTGTTGTGCGCGCTTAGAAATTTAAAGTGTTAATTTTTTTTTTATAAAATTTATATTTTTCTTTTTTATTATTATCATCATCATCTTTATCATCATCGTCATCGTCATATCGTCATCATTTTGGACGACGTAGTGTTGCACTGTGTGAGAATCAAGAGGAACATTATTTTTTGTTTTTTTTTTTGACTTTTAAGGATATATATCTATATATACATATATACGTGATGTTGTTAGGATTATTATTGGATGTTGTTACGGAGGAAGAAGGACAACTATAACTATACCTATCTGCTGTTGCTGTGTGCGTATTACCTACGTGCGAGTTCTCGTGCAGGGATTATTATCGTCACAGGTGGATTTTTTTTTTTTTCGAAAAGAAAAAAATACATTTTCATTTCAACCCTATGAGAAATGATCTTTCATAGTCTTTTTGTTCACCTAATCATCTTTTTTCTTTTGTTTTTACTTAGGTAAACTTGACACAACCCCACGTAAGGATTTTTTAATTCTAGGTCTAAAACAAAATATAAGAAAATGTTGTTTTCTCATTTAATTTCATATTTAATTCATTCAATTGGTTAAATTGTTTGAAAGTTGGTGGGAAATAGAGGTTGTTTGTTTTGTTTTTGTTTAAAGGGTTTTTAAATGGAAGATAATTTATGTAACGTTGTATTTTATATATTTATGTGAATATATTAATTAATAATAAGTATATTTAGTGTAGAATAGAATAAGAGTTGTTTTTCTAGTAATTTTTGGCACATTTTTTTTATCATACATGAGTATACAATTTGACTAGGCTAGTACGAGAAAGTAACTGGATTTTATTCTCGCGTTCATAGTAACGTCCTTCGTTTCTATACGGTGATATTTTATAATTTCACGAAAGGAATTAGAAAGAAATTGTTGAAGAAGAAGAAGAAGAAGAAGAAGAAGATAAAAATAAAAATAAAAAATAAAAAATAAAAAATGATATTTAAATTTTAGAAACTGAGAACAAAACAACAAGAACAACAACAAGAACAACAACAATACGTACACATATAAACAAATAAATAAGACAAGAAGTGTGCATGGATGGATTAATAATAATTTATTATAAAAATTTAGTGAAAATAAGGGTGATATTCGCGAGTGCATATATACATATATATATACATTTTTTTCTTCAATTTAACTATCCCTATCTGTCTCTAATTGTCACCCAATAAGGGGTGTACAGGGTTATAAACTGAGATACAAAAAAACCCCACCTGAGAAATAAAAAAGACAATAATAATAAAAAAAAAATAAAAAAAAAAATAAACAATTACAAAATAAAAAATAAAAAAAAAACTAAAATTGGAAAGAAGAAAAATATAAAATAAAAAATAAAAAATAAAATAAAATAAGAACAGAAGGGGGTTGGTTGGTTGGTTGGTGTTGGATCAGTGAGAAGAGGGTGGTGGGTGGTAGTGAGGGTGGTGGTGGTGTTGGGTGATAGTAGTAGTAGTAGTAGTAGTAGTAGTAGTAATAGTAGTCGTAGTAGTAGTAGTAGTGGTGGTGGTGCTACTGCTGGTTGTGGTGGTGGTTGGTGGTGGTGGTTGATAGTGGTGGTGGTTGATAGTGGTGGTAGTGGTGGTGGTGGTGGTGGTGTTGAAGGTGTCGTCGTCGTCATCGTAGTCGTCGTAGTCGTCCGTCGTCGGTTCTTGCCGTGGATCCCCGAAACCACCCGCGTATTCGGCGGAGCGCGCGCGCGCGCGCACGCTCGCTCACGCGATATATATTTACCGATCGTAATTGTAAATAATATGGCGTACAAGTTTCGCGAGGAGATCGTGGGAAAGAGGTTCCTATCGGTTAGTGGTTTCACCAAGCTTAAGGTTAATAAAATCATTGAGTGGGGGTGGCGGGCGGGGGTGATACGTGCTGCCAGTCACAGGGATAACGATTGTCACGATCTTCAGGTGAGTCCTCTATTTATTTTTCTTTATTTCATTCTTCATCCATCTTTAAATAGTATTATTATTATTAATATTATTATTATTATTGTTATTCCATTGATTGAGAATTAAATTCGGTGGAATTTGTTTCATATTTTTTTTAATCTTATTTTTATAATAATTTTTTAGGGGGTGGGGGGTTTTTCTTTTAACACCCTTCCAATATTTATATGATTATAATTTCATTTATTTATCTCCAATTATAATATATATATATATAGTTATATTATTTATTGGTATTTGCTGCAAGGAGGTTTCGAATTTCTAATGCCAATTAATAATAATAATTATTATTATATTATTTTTATTATAATTATATATTATAAATTTATAATATAATATATTTATATTATAATTTACTTACTCAATTTATATATAATTATAATTTTATTTTTGTTTCTATCAAGCCCCTAATTTATATATAATTATACATAGTATTAATAATTATAATATTAAAAATTAAATTAAAATATAATATTACCATATAAATAATTATAATATAATATATTAAATTTAAATATAATATTAATATAAATAATTTGAATATATAAATAATTATAATGTTATAATTATAATTATAATATAATATATTTATATTATAATTTAATAGTATAATAAATATATATATATATATTAAAAGTAATATAATTATAAAGTTACCCAATATATTATTATAATATTGTTTTATATTTAATTATATTATATTTAATTATAATTTTTAATATAATATAAATTAAAAATATATTATTAATAAAATAATAAATATAATATATAATAATATAATAAATATTATANATAATATATAATAATATAATAAATATTATAATAATATATATAAATATAATATAATAATATAGTAATATAATCAATTTATATTATATTTAATTTTATTATTGTATTATATTATATATTGCTTATATTATATATAAATATAATTAATTTACCTAATAAATTTTAATATATATATATACATTAAATTATTTATATTAAAATTATACTAAATAATGATATTATTTATAATATTTTTCTTTTCTTTTTTGTTTTCTACAATTATTTAAATTTATTTTCAATGATAAATTGGATGATAAAATTCATAAAATGCGAATCATTATTCGCATATGGTTGTCTGTTCGTTTTGTTTTATTGAATTTTTTTTTTTTTTATAAATATTAATAATGTTTAATAATAGAATCAAATAATCGGTCTTTAACCAATTTATATTAAATTTTTGTTGATAAACCGTTGACATTTCACCATGTGTTATGTGAATCTTGACATTATTCAATTTCGGTCTTACACGATAACAAATACATATACATATAATATGTATATAATATATTAATATATATATAAGAGTTGTAGTTATGGATGTGATAGTTATTTTTTACTAAAGTTATACTAGTTCTTTTTTTTTTTCTAAGCTGAATACTTGGAAACACTGGAGCGTGTTTCGTGAACCGTATCGATGACTTTCGCTCGAATTGAAACTAAACTTTAGCTGTTGAATTATATTTAATGTTATTTAATTTACTTTTAATTATTATTAAACATTATAGAAAAATATATATAAATAAATATATAGAATAAAAGAAGAAAAAAAAATCACCATAAAATAACCATAGATTTGGGCGGGGGGGGGTTCATGTTAGGAATAAGTGAACATATTTTTGTTGGTTCTTTTTTATGCTTTTTCTAGACTTTTTTTTTTTTGTTCGTTTCTTTGATTTAAAAAGTAAGAATAGAAAACTAGAAAAGAGATAGGGATAGAAGATAGTTTTGAAAGGCGAACATTGGTCATGGTCGGGGTGATAATGCGAAAATTACGCGTTAACCTTACGTATTTGTGAACTTTATGACCAACAAAACGTTTGTTAGTGTCTATATCTTTGTTACGTATGTGTTTATGTATGTATTTATACGTGTGTATACGTACGTCATATGTTAAGTTTGTTGGTCAAACCTGAAAATGAATATTTGTGAAAAATGTTGTATTTTTTAATTTTTATTTTTGATTGAAAATATAAAAGTATTTATTAGAAAAATGATTTTTCGTGTTGGGGTGGTAAAAAGGGTTGACCAGGGATGATTATGTTGGGGGTTGTTGTAAAAATATATTTATTTAATTTATTTAGTTTATTAAGTTTATTTAGGATGTTGATAATCTAGAACGAGGTTGAGAATTCTTAAGTTGAGATTCCCAACCTGAGAATCTGGGTTGAGAATTTAGGACTTGTTGTAGTAAAAAAAATGATCATTATATTTATAATAAATATATTTATTACGTTATTAGATTGTTGGGGGTAGGTTAGGGGTGTTAAGGGTTCATTTTTATTGAGATTGGGATTATATGTGTTCCAACAAAATTTTTAATATAAAATATTAAATATAAATATAATATAATTTATATTAATATATTATAAAAAAATACGAAATATAATTTAAATATAAAAAATATAATGTTAAATTAATATAATTAATAATATTATTCTATATAAATATAATTTACATATAAAATACAATTTTTAATTAATATAATTACCAAAATATTACATATAAGTATAATATAAATATGATTTATTATTTTCATTTAATATAATTACAAAAATATTATATATAAATATCATATAAATATGATTTATTATTTTAATTTAATATAATTACCAAAATATTATATATATAAATATAATATAAATATAAAATGTAATTTTAAAGTAATATAATTACAAAAATATTATATATAAATATAATTTAAATATAAAATATTATTTTAAATTAACATAATTACAAAACTATTATATATAAATATAATTTACGTATAAAATACAATTTTAAATTAATATAATTACAAAAATAAAAAATATAATTTAAATATAAAATATAAATTCAAATTAATATAATTATAAGACCATTATATATAAATATAATTTAAATACAGTATAATATAAAATTATAAACATAACATAAAATTATTAATTATTCATAGCAATAACCTTACACAAATTTTTTTATTATTTATTATACTAGAATTACAACAAAATAAATAAATAAATATATATATATTCACACGTGCCAGATCATTCTTAATATTATAATTAATAATTAATCAATTAATCATTATTACAATATTTTTTATCAGGAGTGTACTATAAAAAAAAAGATAATTGTTATCCTTTAAAATATTACATAAATATTAATTATTATTATTATTATTATTAGTATAATTAATATATTATATTTATACAACCCTAATATTAATAAAAAATCAAATATGATACAAACAATATTTCAATACGAATGTAATTAAAAAAAAAAAAATAAATAAATAAACAAGAACAGGAAAAAATAAATGTTTAAAAGATTATATTATGATAATTTATTTAAACAAATTTGATATTTAAATAAGATTCAATGTTAATTATGATTCGTTTTGTTTAACGTTCAAGGATCATTTTTTTTTTTTTTTTACTTTTTTATTTACTGCAAAGTATGTTAATCGTCTGAGAGTCTCTTAGTGGTTTGAACACAACAAAAAAAAAAAAAAAAAAATAATAAAAAAAATAAAAAAAAAAAATTTTCTTTTCTTTTTTTTCTTTTTTTCTTCTTTTTTTTTTTTCATTTTTATTATAACGCCAAGTCATAACTATTTCAGTTTTCGAGGACATAAACTACGTACGAGTACACACTACTCTATATAACTATTTACACTTACACACACACACACATACATATATATATATATATATTTGTCTTTTGGGTTGATGTAAAATTTTCTTCTCAAGCAAAATTTAAAATCAACGAACATTTTCGTCTCCTTTCCTCAGACATTTTCGGGGGCCAGAAATATTTGCCAATGTCAAATCTTTACCAAGGTGAAAGAGGAGGTGGGAAGGGGAGGTGTAGGTGAAGAAAATGGTGGAGAATATTATTCGTAAATGTTAATTTTAATTATGCTATCTTTTTCTCATTTTTTTTATTTATTTATTTTTTTTTCTGTGCGAGAAAACATCGAACATTGAAAAAAATTGACAATGAACAATCTTTTTCATTTTTCTTCTTTATTTTTATCATTATTATTATCATTAATTATTATTATTATTAATATTATTATTAATACTATTATTATTATTATTATTATTATTATTATTATTATTATTATTATTATGTATATAAATTATTATCTTTCGTTTAAAATTAGTTTTGAGATAATCGATGAGATAAAAGATGAGAAACATAAAAAAGAAAAGAAACAAAACAAAACAAAAAAACAAGAAAAAAATTAGTCAGCCATTTTGTGTAAAAAAAAAGAAGAAGAAGAAGAAAAAAAAATGATAAGAATATATCACATTAATTCATTAATAATAAACATTTGATAATTGTATTTCAATTAAATGAAAAAAAAAAAGTAGAAACCAGTTGAAACATAAAAAAGAAAAGAAGTAAAACAAAAAAACAAGAAAAAAATTAGTCAGCCATTTTGTGTAAGAAAAAGAAAAAGAAAAAGAAGAAGAAGAAAAAAATGATAAGAATATATCACATTAATTCATTAATAATCATCATTTGATACTTGTGTTTCAATTAAATGAAAATAAAAAAAGTAGAAACCAGTTGAAACATAAAAAAGAAAAGAAGTAAAACAAAAAAACAAGAAAAAAATTAGTCAGCCATTTTGTGTAAGAAAAAGAAAGAGAAGAAGAATAAGAAAAAAAAAATGATAAGAATATATCACATTAATTCATTAATAATAATCATTTGATGATTGTGTTTCAATTAAATGAAATTAAAAAAAAAAAAAAAAAAAAACAAGGGTAGAAAACGTTTTAATACAATCACCAAATATTAAAATACAATCATACATATATTTATCGAAGGTTAAGAAGGTTTTTTTTTTTCGTATTGTGTAGAGGTTATGTATGAATGTTTATTAGTATATGTACATATGTGTTTGTCTGTTTGTCCTGACTTTT